GCGGCTGAAATATGGCTGAGTTATTATTCGCCTCCTTTCACCGGGTGTGAGTGTGTGTGTGCGCGCGTGTGAGCCAGAGGGAGTGTGAGTGCGCTTCTTGCGATTGCAAAGAGGCGAGGCGGGCGGGAGACGCGGGGGGGGGGGGGGTGGCGGCGAGTGTGCGAGTGTGTGCGCGCGCGCCGGGGGGGTGGGGAGGAGGGAGAGGCGGCAGCTCCCCGCGAGCAAAACCAACCTTTCTCTAATTGGAACCGCGGAGCGCTGGCGCTGTCTGGGCTGCGGCGGGGCGGAGGAGGAGAGGGAGGGGGGCTTTTATTATTATTTTTGCATGTACTTACCGAGCTAGCCATGCCTGGGGGCCCGGAGGTTTGCCGGGGTGTTGTGTGGTACCCCCCTCCCCCGCCCCCTTCAGCTGTAATTCATGAAGAGGCTGCTATGAATGAGAGCGCGCCCGGGAGCGGAGGGTAGATGGCGGACATGCTCTGCCTTTGCCCCCACCCCACCCCGCGCTCTCTCTCTCTCTTGCTCGCTTATTAAACTCAGCCCCAAAAGCAAAAGCAGCAGCAGCAGCAGCAGCAGCTCCGGGGCCAGAGGATGAGTCCGGAGCATGCGCCGTGGCGCCTGACACCCGGGCTTCAAGCCTCTCGGGGCGGAGGGAGGGCGCGCGGGCGGGGCGGAGCGCGCGGGGAGGCCGAGCGACCGAGCCAGGGGGAGCTCGAAAGAGCCAATCAGCGGCCGCCTCCCGAAACCCCGGCGGCCCGCAGCGCCACACTGGAACGCCTTGCTTAAAGTAACAGGTTCCTGCTGGGGGGGGGGGGGGGCGGAAATGGGGGGAGGAGGCCTGGCGCGGGGGGGAGCGGCCAGCTGGGGAGCCATCCGGGCCCCTGTGCAAACTCCGTTCGCCCTACAATAAAAAACGGATTAAAACTGCTGGAATGTGGCCACTGCCTGGAGCCCCCAGCCTCCGGAGAAGGGGTTGTTAAATCAAATCTTTGGCGGTAGTGAGCACGTTTGAGAAGGGGGAGCGAGCCTGCTTTTACTTTCCACCGTGGATCTTAGTAGGTTTGTGCTGAAATCGCAAGAACGCACACGCAAACAAACTTACTTAAACAGAGAGCGAGAGAAATCCACGCGATCCAAAAAACAAAAAAAAAAGAAAAAAAACTTCAAATAGCAATCTCGGGACTGAACAGTCCGTGGCAACCTTACGTACATCCCCTTTTCCCACCCATCTACTCCCCAGGCACCAGCCCACCCCACCCTCTTGCCATCGCCACTGAAATTTTAAAAATGAAATGAACGCGAAACAAGAATGCCATTTCCTTCCTGGGAAACGCCTCCTGTCTTGGTTATCCCGAGCTGGCAAGCGTCACAAAACCATACCCAGGTGAAAGCGAGACACCTGGGAGTGCCCGGTGAAGACCCGTTGGGAAGCAACTTCCCGGTTGTTTTCCTGGAGAGACTTCCCCCGCTGACAACCTGCTGGGTTGCATCAGGGTCTGTCCTCTCTCTAAGGAGACACGAGGAGACTGGGAGCCTTAAAATAGATAAAGTTAATACTGACTGTAATGTGCATAAATTGGATTATAATCTTTTGGCATATTGGTGGCAGCCAAGATAATCTATCTCTGGGTATTAATCCATTTAGGCTCCCGGGTGACAACCCCTTACAGGAGTGTTCCAGAGTCGCTCCTCTACAAAGGCTTCAGCTCCGATAGTATTTTGTCTCTGTGGCCATGGATAAAATATCAAGACATACGTGGGGAGAAAAAAAAAGTTACTAGCTTCCTCTAGAAACACAGACAACCTTTAAAAAGGAAACGGATAAGATCTAGACGAGATACGAAAATGAAAGATGGGTGTGACTTTGTTTCGTTAAATAAAGTTCTTGTACCTTTCTGGCTCTTAATTCCTTTCTTGAACTGCTGTGGTGGCGGTGGCTGGTTTCCGGACTTTATCTTTTTGTTCACTACCCTTTTTCTCCGGATCGCCAACTTCTTTACTTCTTTTCTCCCTGTCCTTTTCTCTCTCTTCCTCTTTCTGACACAACTTTGTTGTTTTCCTCTTCCCCGGCGCCCAGAGACCATAAAAGACAGTCTGGCCCTTGCATTGAAGACTTCAGAATAACGGGAAGGAGGTTCACTGGGGCCCCAGGTTCTCCATGATCACGTTCAGGTCTCCTCACTGCTCACAACGTAGATGCCTGGAATCAGAGAGACTCAACCACTTGCAGCCAAGCCCAAAGCAGCAAGTTCTCAACTCAAGTAGTGTGGTTTTCCTAAACCTGTGATTCCCATCCTTCAGGATCAAGCATAGAGGGGAGATGCTATATGGGGGGAAACTTCAATACAAGTCCAAATACATATTTTTCAGTCATGTCCGTCAGCGCATGTCATCGTGTGTGTGTGTGTGTGTGTGTGTGTGTGTGTGTTTAAGCACTAAGTTTGCATACACACAGACCTGCTCTGTATGGTATACACGTGAGGGATGACTATCCGCTCAGCACCGTTATGCCACTTGTCAAAAGCCAAACTGTAGGGACAACTCTAAATGATGATATTGGAGCTGAAGATTATATAAATATGATTTCAGTGAAGTTATTTCTAACAAGTGGTGACCATTCAGCATTGGCTCTAATTCCAGAGTGGCTCTCTGGGTGTTCTCTCCAGAAACTGTACCTTGTATTTGTAAGAGGGGGTCTCAGCCCATGGCCACCCCACCCCCCGACTGTGTGTGTGTGTGTGTGTGTGTGTGTGTGTGTGTGAAATGTATCCTCATGTCTTTTAGCAATCACAAATAAATCATAGCCTCTGATCACCGAGTCTTTCCCCAACGCCCTTCCTTTCTCAAAAAATACTTTAAAATCCCTGAAAGTAAAGTAATTCCCAGTCTGCAGACGCTGGAGATTTAAAATATGCCAGTAGATGGCGCGCAGAGCCCTTCCACCAACGTCCTTATGTGACCCTCTTCACAACAAAAAGACTTCAACTAGGAAAATGAAAAAGAAAACACAACCCGGAATGCTCTAGGTTCAACTTTGAACAAAGGAATTTACACCAGTCTTTCCATTTTTTATTTGTAACTGTTTTAATAAGTTGACTGTTAACAACAATAAAATGGTGATAGCAAGTGTACTTCCTGTCCATTTAATTTGAAAATCTTCACAGTTTGGGATATAAATGTCGAAAATCAGTACTCGACCATAAAAGTGTAGAAAACGCACTCAAAACAAACGGAGTGGCGGATTCCACTTGGGGAGCTGAAGCAGGAGGCTCTACGTGTCGAGGCTAATCACACTACCCAGCAAACCTGGACCTCATGAGACATTTTCACAGCCACAAAGACGTAGCGAAGAGAACTTTTAAAACAAACATCAATGCTAGACAGCAAAAAAATAGGAGTAATTAAAACGAAATGGTCGATGATAAAAAGCATCTCCTTGTCCAAATAGAAATTATCACGTGAATATTGTAACGTATAGTACAGTATGAGATTGAGTTATTCTAATGAACGGAAAGGCCATTAGCATCAAATTAAATAAGAACAGTGATGAAGAATGAAAACGGACCTGTGTGTGTGTGTGTGTGTGTGTGTGTGTGTGTGTGTGAGAGAGAGAGAGAGAGACAGAGAGAGAGAGAGAGAGAGAGATTAACTCCTACACTCCCACCACGCCTCTGGCCTGGCCCCAGACTTTTCATCTCATTGCTTTGCTAGTTTGAAACTTCAGACCAGTTTGGATGTTTCTGCCTGAAGAAAAGGAAAAGATCGCCTTTCAAATGTAGTTAGGGTGTTAAAAAGCACCCTAAAATAAATTTCACCTACTTGTTGTGACAGGTTATCGGTACACAAACTCCACTAATCAAATCAACAATCAGTTGTTCTCTCTCCTTTGCTGTACGGATATGTCAAGGAAGAGGAAGGGCCACGGAAAAGCTACTAGATAATAGAGCAGACAGTAGACATTTTGCTAGCTGAACATTCAGAATAACTAAGGGGTTTCCCCCATTGTGATCTACTTTGTTTGTTTGCTTTATGAAATACATCCATACATGTATTTACCAAAGCTGGGCCATGTATCAAGAAGAGAGATAGAATCTAAGACTACAAGAATGATAGGAGTCTGGGAGTGTAACTCAGTTGGTAGAGTATATGCTGAATGTCCTAGGTTTGCACACACACACACACACACACACACACACACACACACACACCACACACACACTAGTAATCCCTACACTCAGTGGGAGATAGAAGCACGAGGACTTAGAAGTTCAAGAGCATCCTTGGCTACATAGGGAATTTAAGGCTGGCCTGGAATGTATGAGAACTTAACTTTAAATAAATTAATAAAAATAAACTAAGAGTGAATGCTGGTCCCTGATGCCACAAAGCCCATGACTTCATGACACAGAGGAAAAATTTCACCAAAGCCATTTCTTTTTTAATTCCACAGTACCTAAGTTTGAGCTAGTTATATATGTCACACATAAGCAAACAACAAAGAAGGTTCACACAAACAGCCAACAGACAAAAAAAAAATAGCAGCAGGAAATAAGGACTGTGGCTGTTGGCCTCTGTTTCATTTTTTAATACCTGAAAATGAAAAGGATACAGCAGCAAATTTCTGATATCCTATGCCTTGAACTTAAGTATTTCTATGCTCACTTTCTTGGAGTTCCTTTAGGGGAACACAAAGTCCACAAGGAAAGCAAGGAAAGGAAGCTGTCTTTTCAAGACAAGAAGCTGAGAAACATGTTCGTATGGAAGTTTTCTTTTGGAACATTACATGCTTAATATGATCTCTAACTCATGGTTCCAGGGTAGTGTGTTGGGAACATACTGAATATACTTTGAAATTCACTCCACCACCTAGTGTAAAGGCAGCTTCCAGACATAATCAATGCACCAGGTTTGTTTGGCCCACAGAGCCTCTTCGTGTGTAAATTATTCCCCAAGAGTCATTTAAGCACCACATTTATACATGCAGAACACAAGTGCCTCCAAAGTAATAATTTATTAATTTGGTAGGCTGTATCCCTAATTTAATAAATAGCACCTCAAGGCCTGAAAATTAATCGAGGATGGTATGTAGGCTGAGCACTATGAAGCACTGTAAATATTGAGATCCACTGATAGAGTGTGAACGAAACTGTCTCCCTAAACCCACGGGAACCACCTCGGTGCAATAGCTGTAGGGAAAATACACATTCTATTGAAACAACTTGCAGGAAAACTTATCTCAAAGCTAGGACATTTTACAACATCTTGATTCTGTCGTCATCTCTCCGCAGATTGACAGGCAATTTTCTGTAATTGGGCTTCTGCTGTTGTGTTGCTGTTTTGGTCTTATGCAGTCCAAACTCACGCTACACCTCAGCTCTTAGTCTTCTGTCTGCTATCTTCCAAACACTGGACGACAGGCATATGCCGCTGTATCATTCATTGCAGTATGTGTATATTCATATATCTGCATGTGTGTGTGTACGTATGTGTGTGTGAAGTCCACAGATCAATATTATGCGTCCTTCTTTGTCATTCCCC